ATTCTAAAAGTAAAAAGGAGTGTAGAAAAGATCCATTGAACCATTTTGGTAATATCTATCTCTTATATTTTATTTCTATCATGTTATTAATGAAAATGAGTTTTCTTCAATTATGCTCCATATCTAACTAAATTCTCTAATTTTGGATTAATGATGTAAATATCATATATAGTCATAATGAGTTCTCTTATACCTCAAAGGACTAAAATGATATTTTTAAAATTATCATATCTTAATTTAATGCACATAGTGGCTATATGTGTAGTTAAAATTTATTGTAATATGGAGGCTCAACAGAGGGAAGCATGCATAATAAGGAATATTAAATTAGTATGTGTCGTACCTAGGTAAAGGGTATAAAATCTACTAAATTATTACGAAGGTGATTTAATCGTAGGAAGTTAATGGATAACCTTTGTTCCTACAAGCTCGATAGAGATCTAGAAAAGCATATGCTCTGATTAGTATGACAATTAAAAGAAAATTATTTAGAAAAATATGTTATTTATATTCATTAATCCAAAATATTATATCCAAATAGTATATTTATTATCTTTATCTAATTTTATTTAAGTGATTAAATCTCCACAACATCTATCTTTATTGAGTAGGATCAATATTGTAATTTTAGTAGACGCTAAAATTATGAGATACGCCAAGAGGGGGGGTGAATTGGAAAATAATTATAATAAAATATATTCCTAAACAAGAGTTCTATTTTTTTTAACTTAAACAATAAAATTAAATAATACGGAAGCGAATGCTTACAACACACCTTGTAACAACAAATTTCACTACGATTTTTCACCAAGCAATTTTAATGAAAATAAAATGCAAGCATAAATAAAAAGCAGTAAAGAAAAAATAACAACATAGATTTTATAGTGGTTCGGTCACTTGACCTACGTCCACTCCCCGGAGTCCTCCACTCCGAGAATTTCACTACTAAACAATAATTCTCCTTTTGCCCCCATAGTAAGGCGGTGAAGCCCTTATAAACCTCACTTTCACCAACCCGACGTGGTGGAGTGCCAAGTACTTTGTCACCCTTCTGGCCACGGCAACATACCTTCTCATTTTTCTCCCTTCTAGAGAAGGCAGAGTACCTTAGAGGACACGGATGCAGAAGAATCTCGTCCTCAGAGAGCCTCCCATAAGATCTTCTCGAGCCACAGGAGGAGCAAAGTGCAGCAAGCACGGAGCAACCGTGTGATCTCCCTCACACTCCTTCTCCCTCAGAAAGCCTAATTTCTCCTTCCTCTCACAAACCCTAAAATCTTCTCAAGAGCTCTCTCCCAAGGAATCCCTCTCTACCAGTTACACACAAAAACATAAGTTTTTTTATACTTAAAATGGGCTCCAAAAACCCTAAAATTCTCCAATTAGTCGTTACTATTGTATAATACGATCCAATATCATACAGTATGATTAGTACAAAATGGGCTTCATCCTAGCATGAAAGTTTTCGAACAGGCCAAAAATTCTGAATACATTCGTACAGTACGATATAAACTCGTACAGTATGATCTGTAAAACTCTTCTATTCGTACAATATGATTACCGGGATGATTGAAACTCATCTCTCTATATCGTAGGGTACGACCTACTTCGTATAGTATGATAGAAATCATACAGTACGACTTGTTTACAGATAGCCGTTTCACCCAGATCAGATCATACAGTATGATTTAAAATCGTACATTACGATCACCAGAGAAAAAATTTTCTTCATTTTTTTTAAACCCTCTCCCCCAATGTGTGTGTGTGTGTATGATTGCTCAATCTTGCATACAATTTGTGGCCCAACTCAAGAAAATAAAAATAATAATAATTGAAAAATTATAATGTTATAAACTCCAACTCCTACTCTACCTTGTCTTGAGTCTTTTTGTTGTCATGAGTAACTTGTGATCTCCCTGAAATGTTAGTACTCACAGACAAGAGCATAAATTAAAAGAATTTAATGAATAGTACTTCAAATGACATTATTTATCATCATCAAAATCTCAGACTAGGGGTTATTGATTGTAACAGACACTACTAGTATTTGCAAGTGAGCATATCTTCTTTGTGGAATCGATACTCTACTATATCATTGTAATACTTTATTCAGCACGTATACTTATGTATATTAAGTTGAATTTTTAAAATTTTTTATATCAATGAAAACACAAGCATTATTAGGGATTGATAAAGCCCTAAATCATTTCATATTTTCATAGATTACTCCACAGCCCCCATCATTAAGTTAGATGAATAGTAAATTTATGCATATCATATATTTCATGTCTTGATGTAGTATACTAACTTTTGATTATTTTGCACTTAGTATTACTCTATTTCCAATAAAAATGGCATATATGCAAAACCATATGTTAATATTTAGGATGATAATATCTACTATATATCAAAGGTTGTATGGTGGAAGTTCACTAGAAGAGGGGTATTTACCTATCGCAATCAAATAAAATTTCATAACTGAAGTAAAAAAAATGGTTTAAACCCCACTTTCTCTCTCCTTTCACATCCTTCTCACTCCCCCTATTATCTCCATTCTCATCTGACATGCAAAGGGAAAATTGAGGAAAATGGGTTACGGTGAGGGTTTTCAACAAATGAATATTGATATTTTATTAAAAAAAAAAATATTTTTTTTCTTATCTAACACAATAGTGCTCAAAATTCCAATACTACAACACTCACTGAAACCCTTATAAACTTAAGAGCTTGGTGCCACAGCATTTTGCATGCACAACATCGTAGCACTCCTAGCCAAAATTTCAAGTTTATAAAAATTTCAGTGAAATTATATTTGAGGTTGCTATATCTGGGGCTTCTTGGGTCATTTTTTATGAACCATTTCTCCATCTCCATCAAGTTTCATTGAGTAGTATAGTTGGGGTTCTACATGTTCATTAATGTCTTAAGAACACTCGACTCATCAAGTTCAGTCTATCTTCTTGTTACTAACAACAATCCACACTTACCATATCTTTAAGGATATTAGATCTGAATCTATCAATGGATGATATTGAACAACACTAGTAGGTGAACTCTTTGAGGGTGACCTAAACTTATGTGAGAATGGAAAGAAAATAGTTTGCAAGAGAAATGTTCATAGGCTCAAAATCTCACTCAATTAAAAGATTTAAAATGCTCCTTTTCACATCTTATTTCTAGGATTCAAAGGGCTACCAAAAAGGCAACATCAAATGAATAATAAAATATATTTACTTAAGTGACACTCAGTCTAGACAGCTTAGACAAGTGTCTTCTCATGACTAGGTGAAGGGGTGGAAAGGAATGGTCTAAGATGATCTACCACGAGAGTGAGTTAACTAGTGATAAGTAGGTTTAGGTGAGTACACTTGGACGAGTTTATTGGTGAGTTCTAAGATGAGTGGGACCAACAACTAGAAGGCTAGCTGAGGTTGTTGGAGATTTACATTGAAAGCCTTGGGATCACATTAGAATGGTGAGGCAAGAGAGTTATTATTACAGGAAAGGAGAGAACTATGTTGAATGGTCATGGCAAGAAGAGCAAAAGACCTTGTGAGTATGCACGCTTCTATTGTTGGGTTTGATTTTTATGAGTGAGGATGCCCACTTTGGAAGAGAGTGAGTGATTGCAACTTCTTCTTATAGGCAGGCGACAAGTTGTTTGCTTGGTGCAAAACCTAAGATGCCACCCTATGAGGGACAACCTCCTTTAGTAGGCTTAGGTAAGTAGAACCTATTGATCATTTGGGCAAGTTATCCTAAGCATTCCAAATGATCAACTTCTATTGATTGTTGGGCATGTCTTCCATCACAACCGAACAAAAATTTATTAGGCACCTGAGAAAGTATATGCGAGTATACATAAAGTATTAAGAATTCCTTATCTAATTAATTTTTACTATATTTATAATTTAGTTTATTAGGTCAAATTCCTAATACATTTAAAATGTGATGTTTTGTTTGCTACTGCCATTATTGACCATCATCGTCGTCGCCACTATAGCCACCATCGCCACTAGTGTTGATGGCACCTCCTCTATTGCCATCATGAATCGCCATTGCCATTGACGAGTACAGTCCTCACCATATGTTGCCACAACTATGTACCATGTTGGCATCCAACCACCAACTCTTGCCATCGATAACCACCCATCGACCCCAACACAAGTCACCTTCCATCACCATCTATGATTGCCTCTACCTTTCCGCTACTAGCCACCATAACTGAAAGACATCATAGGCCACCAAGCTGACGACCCATTGTTGTAGGTTTTATGCTAAATTTATTTTACATAAGCCCAAACACAATAAGAAAATCTCCTGCAAAAGTATACTCATCCAATGACTATAAAATATTTTAAATGCACTATATTTATTTTTCATAACATTCTTTCTACTATTTTTCCATTTTAGCAAAAGTGATGACTCCTCAAAAAAAACTAATTTATTCACTAGAGCTCCCATGAAAATTTTAGTCTGAAAGAAGCATGATTACCTACGAGAAATTCAGAAAATAATATTATTAAATAATAAAGTGCTAGAGAACCCAGAATTCCTGAATCATTATTCCTTAAGTAAAATTGGGTTGTTGATACGAATTAATTAAGCAAACCAACAAAAACGGACATCGTCTCCGACGACAACCAAACTTGGTGGTTTGGTGCTGTACCTAAAATAAAAGCCAACGTGAAATGTCCCTGGCCCACTATTCACATAAATGCATGCCTACAAAGCGAGCACCGCATAAGAATGAATATTTAGAGCACGTTGACGTCAAAATGACAGAAATCCACCTTTCTCAGCACGCGTAAAACGTGGCAGATTTTTCACCTAAAACCTAAAGACTTGAAGAAACAAACTACGATACAATATGTCACCAAGGCAGAAAGCAGGTAACTAAACATGGCCCGCTACCTCACCAAATGAAGATTCAAAATGAAAAAATAAAACTTTAGCATCTACACTTATTAATATCGGAAAGAAAGCATAAAATCAGTGGCTCTGCAAATAAGGGATCAAATCAAATCAGTAGTTCAATGTCAATAATAATCCTGAATAATAACACACCAGCCATTAATTATAAGCCTTCCTAATCATTTCACAAAGATATATACAAACACTAATAACAATAATTATAAAAGAACATAAACAAACGCATTGCTGCAAACTGCCGGAAGCTACCAAAATGGATTACTGATTACTGGTTCTGGGGCAGCTCAAATGAATAAAAATATAGAATCGATCTTATTTTCATCATAATCAAGGCGCTATCCATCTCTTGAAATCTATATGCACCAGTTCTTCTTGAGGCTGCTAGATTAATTTCTATCTCCTGTCATCATTCTTGTCTAGCCAGCTCCTCAGATTGCATAGGGCTTCTGTTGACAAGCTGCAGTATCTCAACCGTGGAGGTGGTAGCTGATGTGATCGCAGCTGCTCTGGCAATGATGAAGAATCACGATGCTCATAAGTAAAGCAAACAACAATTACTGTCAGGTTGTCAAAAGTATTGAGCCTCAAAGCCTCCATGACAAGCTCCCGAGCACAGCGCTCAGGATCATCATGGCGACGGAGTCCTCGGCGCACTACACTAACTGCATGCTGGCTTGACATTACATCCCATATACCATCGCAGCCAATGATTAGAAACTCATCATCCTGAGTCAAAACGACCTGCCTAAATTCTGGCTCTGCAATTAAAGGTGATGGAGAGCCCCTAGGAAGTTTCATGTCCCAGTCGCCTAGAGCCCTTGACAAAGAGAGAACTCCATTGAGGTACCCATCATCTATGTAACCTCCAGCTTCCTCAACCCTTCTGCACTCCACCGCATAGATAGGCCTATGGTCCTGTGACATCTCCAAAGCTTCACCCTTTCGACATAAAACAGCTCGGCAGTCCCCAGCATTGGCTACCAACAGGATGCTGCAGAAGGAAAAATGCAAATAGGTTAGATGACCAAAACCACATCATATATCAATTTAGTATCGATCACTTGTTCAATGTTCAAGCACCTTCCAAAAACTAATGCTGTGAGTGCAGTGGTTCCAGAAGAAGTGCTAACAGTGCAGTCATCAGCCAAAGCAAGGTCAGCTTGAAGGAATGCCTTCCGAACCGAGTTCTCTACAGATTCTAGGAAGATTGAATCAGCTTTTGATGCACGTGGAAACTCAGCATCTTCAAAAAAGAACCTAATTGCATGTCTTTTCATATATGCTGCTGCATCAGGGCCACCATGACCATCAAAAACCTACACATATAGATCAAAAAACATTAATCAGCAAACAACCCAAGTTATCTCATGCAGACGGAGAGGCTCAAAAACGGATAAATAGATTAGTTACCCCGTAGAAGGCACTAGGTGCAGGGCAACTAAGCAAAGAGCCCAGATAGCCTGATAGATCATCAATTCGTATATGCTCATCCTCCATGTATCTGCGTGGTCCAATATCCGCAAAGCTTCCTGATCGGATGCTAGGAATAAATTGAATAAGTGCTGATTCTTCTGAAAAATCTGGAGCAGCATCCAAGGTTATAAGATCCTGCAAAAATTAGAAACTGTTCAATAAGCTTATTATATCTCCCAACATATAAATTAAAACTTCAAAAAGCCTGACAGAAAAATTTCTAAATTATGGTGATTGGAAACTTTACTTCCAACTTCGAGCTTCGTAATAGCAATACTGGCGTCAATATAATAGAAGGGGAGGCATAATAAATTTTTAATTTACAATCTTATAATGGTTCATCAAATACACAAAATGCGGAAAAATAAAAGTCAAGCACATCTAATTCACAACTGCAATCCAAGCTTAAAGCAGAAAACCAAGATAGAATCAAAAGTACATCCATGGCTATTCACAAAAACAGGGTACATAGCACTCATTTTCTTAAGAATCCAAGATCATCAATATTGATGAATCTAAAAGGTATAGCATGACAAAACGTCATTCACTATGTAATTCTCGCAAAAAAAAAAAAAAAAGAATCAGGTACCTAATTTCTTGCATCCCCGGGAATCACATAGTTAATTTTTTTTAGTTCAACCGGTACGCAGAAATTATCAACTAATGCAAAGGTTTTCTTTCTACAGAAACCCTTATCCACAAAATTTCAGCAGAAAAGCATACGGCTATTTTGCAACTGAAAAAAACTCAGTATGATAAAATTGAAAAAATATTCCTCAACTAATTTGATCCTGCCATACAATTACCAAATGATAAGAATACAGATCATAAAATACAAAAAAAATTCCCTCCATCTAAAACCAAGAACACAAGAAGAAGACCCTAAATCGATCGGAGAAAGAAACAAAAGCATAAAAAACTTACCAGCTCTGAGGCCGCGCCAGCCGATGATACCGGCGGAATCACTACCGTAGTGGCCGACAAGTCGCCGATCTCATCCATGCTCTTGGAAATACACAGATACTGAACATCCAAAAATGGTATGTTCTGGTGGATCAAATCCGCTCCTGCCACCATCTTGAAGCCTGTGATATCACCTTACCTTTCACTCAACAACTCAAAAATCCCGGGCGACTGAAGAAATTAGGGTTTGCTTGGGTTTTCACTTTCCTACTTTCGTATATTTTGCCGTCCTTTTTCTTTTCACAGTTTTTGATCGACTTGGTAGATTCAACAAGCAAAGAAGATAAATCAGAGACGGTGAAGCGAGTTATAAGAGCCTGCGGTCACCGGCATATGCGAAGCTGCGACCGGCACGTGTGGGTTAACGAGGCCTCTTAGGATAAGGCGTCAGATGGTGCCGCCGCGTGGAGCTAGTCACTTTAAAAAAGTCTCGTGCCGTCTTACTGAACCAATGAAATTTCGGGAAAGACAGATTGGGAAGTCAATAACTTACGGCGCACAAGCCGTCGGATGCACGGCGCCTTTTGCGCTATTAAAGTTAGTTCTGTCAATCATTGCTTGATTTTTATTTTTATTTTTAATTAGGGCAAAGCCCTTGTATTAATAAAGAAAATAATTACATGCTAAGAAGAACAATAAAAGGCCGAGAACCTCCACAAAAAAGATAAGTGATTCAAAGGAACACCAAAAATAGCAAACTAAATATGCCAAGAAAAGAAGGCAAAATGATAAGGAAGGTGACTTAAACTCAGAAAAGTGGCCATACCCTTAAAACATCAGGATTCAGAGGCAATTGAAGCAGCAGCGAATGTCAGAACTATAGGAAAGAGCCTCGGGTGTCACAGGGCTAGCCAAAAATAACATGATTGGCAGAGGATCTCAAGGAGAGCAGCAAAAAAGAGAGCCATGCATCGAAGGCCATCCATAAGTGTCGCAGGCCATTCAAACAACAAGATGGCAAGGGAAGGGCCATACTCATCATAGTCTTGTTGCGTCTTAGAGTATTCGCGGTGGTAGAGAAATATTTAGTTTAACGTCTTAGCATTATACGAAGATCCAACACACAATTAGATAAGAGAGAGAGTGTAGCATTCATAAGTGACACCAGAGTTTTTAGGTGGAAATCCCTAAAAAGGGGAAAAAACCATGGGGTCTGGCCCAATTTGAATGAATCCACTAGTATTTACAGTCGATTACAAATGAGGACTTTCCTTAGGAGAAGGCCTTGACTTGATATCACAAATGTACATCATATATAGCACATTACATGGTGAGAGTTACATATATATGTTTGTTTGGTCGATAGGACCATAGTCAATGGGATAGTGGTCGGAAAGACCGTAGTTGGAAGAAGATCGGGGTCAGAAAGATCGTTACCTAGTGATGGAGGTCAAAAATGTAAAATCTTAATTAGGTTGTTAAACCTAAGCTAATATCTCAAGGCTAATCAAGAGGGGGGTTGAATTGATAATTTTAAAATTACTCTTGGATTTAAAAATTGAAAACCTTTTGATTCAGTTAGCAAGTTAATTGAGAATTTTGAAAATAAAATTTTCAACCACAGAATAAAAACTTGCAGTAAATAAAATGTGATAATTTAAATGACACAAAGTTTTATAGTGGTTCGATCAAACACGACTTACATCACTCCTTGAAGACTCACTCTTCAGGTATTACACTATTACGAGTGTCTCTCCTTTTTCCCCCACAGCAAGACAGAGAAACCTTTATAAAACTCTCTTCTACTAATCCCTAGTGCGGTAGAGAACCGTCGTCCTTTCACACTCTCCAAGTGTCGGCAGAGAACCGTCGTCTGTTCACACTCTCTAAGTGTCGGTAGAAAACCGTCATCTATTCACACCCTCCAAGTGTTAGCAGAGAATCGTCATCTGTTCACACTCTCCAAGTGTCGGTAGAGAACCGGATCTACTTCAAATATCTTCTCACGAGCAATCTAAAAAGACAACTGGAAGAGTAAAAAACTGAAATCACATAGAGATCCTTACCTTTGAGTAACCTTATGAATCATTCACACTCTACTTGCAAGAAATCTCTCTCATACTCTCTTATTTCATTGCCCTAAAAAAATCACGAAGACAAGATCTTTTCACTTCAGTTTTAGTGGACTTTTTAGTGGACTCAAGACACGAAAAATTGTCCAGAAAAAATTAAAATTTTTAATTTTGAGCGTACATGATCATACAGTACGATCGTATTTCATACGTATGAATAATTCAAAAACTATTGCGTGCGAACTTGATCTGAATCAATATGAAACCATTTCATACAGAATCATCATCCGGTATGAATCAAGTTCATCCATGATGAACAGTTAAAAAATGGACCTCACAATTTTGTACTTTGAAAGGCATGAACGAACTATGTTCGTACAATATGATCCATACTTAGAAAATATTCTTTTTACATGACCAGGAACCCATCCATTTCGTACTCTAGAAGGCATGTACGAATTGTGTTCGTATAGTACGAACTATGTTTGTACAGTATTATCCATACTTAAAAAAATTCTTTTTACACTACCAAAAACCCATCCATTTCGTACTCTGGAAGGCATGTATGAACTGTGTTCGTACAAGACAATCCATACTCAGAAAATTTTTAATTAATATTCGTTTGAGTGCTCTAGGGGGAAAATAACTTAATAAATGGTCGAGTACTAAGTCAATTCATACAGTATGATTAGTTTAAAATTTTTAAGTTTTAATCTTTCCCCACGTGTGTATGTGCACAGTTACTCAATTACAACCACACTCTCTCAGACTCAATAAAATTTAAAAAAATATAGACTTCACATAAGATAAACTTTAAACTCATCTGATTTAAAGTCTTCAATAATCTGAAATATAATTTTCCTGAAATGTTAGTACAAACAAACAATAAAGCAATGCATCCAAAATATGTTAAGATAAATAATAATTAAAATAATAATATTTGGAATCATAAAAAACAAACATGTTACAAGAATATCAACAATAAAAAACTAAGTTGCAACAATCTCAACAATCTCCCTCTTTTTTATGACGGCAAAATAATTATTATTTAAATAAAATTGAATAGTCTAAATTTCTCCTTAACTCCCCTTAAATGAATAAATATGTGTATATAAGGGAATTCTTTTAAGAACAAATCATTTTTTTAAAAAATTTAAAACACACAAAAATAAAATAAAAGCAAACACAAAACATCCAAAAGAAAACACAAAAATAACACTAACACACCAACCAAAATAATACAAATGCAAATAAAATTTCTCCACCTTTTGACAACAATAAAATAGAAAGAAGGACAATTGAAATGGAAGAAGTTATATGAGAAACTTTATAAATTGATCTTGAAAGAGATTGAACTATAATCACAATAACAAAGTTGTAATATTCATTAGTTGAAAAAGAAATATTCAAAAACATTTAAATTAAGGTATAATATAGATAAGAAAAGTTAATCAAGGTCATGAAGCATTCTAAATAATTAGATAAAAATAATTATTACAAAAGAAACGAAATGAAAATTAGATTATTTCAATTTTCAATCTAAAATATAATTGAAAATTAGATTGATTTAAATTTAAAGATTAAAAGAAAGAGAAAAGAACATTCTCAATTGGTGACATTACGTATCTTTTCAAATGTTTTTGGCATACTTCGTGCATCTTTTTATATTTAGGCTAATTTTGTACCTCTTTTCAATTTGCGAACCATTGCGCATTCTTTAGATTTTTGTACACATTGTACATTTTCCCCTTTTTTTAAATTGATCATTCTAAAATTAATAATCTAGAAAATCAAATTTCTCTAATTACAAATATAATTATATTGAAAAAAAATAAAAAAAAATAAAACATTAAAATTGTAATAATAATATTATGAATTATATTTTCCTAAAAAGGAAATAAGATTGATTGCCTTAAGTTTATCGAGTTATAAGTTAGCTTAATAATATTTTGAAAAATTAGATTTCATAATGAAATTAATTTTTGTATTGTAGTTAATATATTACTCTTTTTAGATAATTAACACATGAATGTCATATAGGCAAACTTATAATTCAAACAAATGAACAAAAGTAACTAACCAAAACAAGACATATTTTATTGATATCAATTCAAGATGTATTACATTGATGAACAAATGATATCAAATCATAGATTTCAAAATAATATAACATAACAATGATAACATCAAGGATCTAAATTAAGACAAGTACACAAAGCATCGAAAACATCACAAAGAAAAACACATCTCAAAGGACTGATAAAGACAGCACACAAAAAGTACATCTAAAACTCTGAAGGATCCTGGTCTAGAGGAGGAGGCTAGTTGAAGATAAAAAAATAGCTATTTATCATAGCTACGTTAGTGTTCACGAATTCGAACTGTCCTCGAATCCATCCAATGTCTTGCTAGTACTATGCATCCTACTGATTTAGGTGAGTCAAAATTTGATCAAAGTGCTGATCAAGATGACTCTCTAGTCGGTCAAAATACTGGACCATCTCCTGAAAGTCAAATCCATGAGCAAGCACAAGTGCAAGTGCTGGTGCTCCCCCTTCTCCCTCATAATCCTCACTTGTATTGCCATCCTTCGCCAAAAAAGTGTTCGAAATGAAGCATTGGTAAAGTAGATTGGCAACTCAAGTAGAGGTTCAGTATGAACAAGATTGTTCTTCTTCTCTAAAATATAGGTCACAAGATGTCCTAAGGCAATATTATTATTTCTCCTATGAGAGACATGTCCAATTTTAGAAAGTCCGTGAATATAATCAAGAATAAGTTGGGCTTTATCTATTGGTTTTCCAGTCATGATAAGATATGGAATAGTGGACAGAAGAGGAGTAATGTTATTATGGTCACCAGCTTTAGAAATTATGGAAGTTCTAATGACATGTTGAATGACCATTATATTTTGGTTTAAGGTATAGACCCTAGGAAAATGAACAACTTGTTCAACCCCTCTAAGAACTTTATTTATTTTGGACTAGTCAAAAGAAGATTTAGAAGTCATTGTGTGCACTCTAACCCCTTGAGTTCTTAAATGCAAAATTGTTCTCAAATCTTCCTTAGTGATCTCTACCCTTTTCTTCAGAACATAACATCTTACTTATCCTACTCTCATCAGAACTAAAAGAAATATTTGCCATAAAATAGTGAAAGATTTCTTTGTTGTAGGCATGAATCAAACTCAGGATAAAGGAAAATTGAGTGGTGGGGAAAAGAGGCATTACTTGAAAATGAATATCTTCTTGAAGTAAGATTCTAGAAGGAG